CCTTCCAGCGTGTCATGGACGCCGTGTTGGCAGGTCTGAAATGGAGGAGCTGCCTCGTCTACCTGGACGATGTCGTGGTATTTTCACGGGATTTCGATGAATTCCTGAAACGACTTCGGGCAGTGCTTCAAGCCATCAAGACCGCCTGCCTGTCACACAAACCAACAAAAAGTCGATTCGCCTATGGTGAACTTAAGTCTCTTGGCCACGTCGTGAACATTGAAGGTGCTTTCTCTGACCCCGAAAAGACCCGCGGCGTCGTGGCATTTACGCCGTCGTCTGAAAAGAAGGCCGTCAGAAGATTCCTCGGACTCTGTGCCTACTACAGACGATTTGTACGGGACTTCGCCAAGCTGTCTGCACCCCTGACAAACCTCACGAAGACGCCGTGAAGTTTTAATGGACAGAAAACACCAGCAGTCATTCGATGAGCTCAAACAAAGACACCAGACGCCCCCGATGCATGGCCATTTCAACCAGTTCGCCGAAACAGAGATCCAGACGGACGCCAGTAACACCGGACTTTGCGCGGTACTGGTGCCAGTGCAAGACGGGGCAGGGCGACTCATCGCATACGCGAATCGTACGCTGTCCAAGGCAAAGACGAACTACTCAACGACTGAAAAGGAGTGCCTTGCTGTCGTCTGGGCAAAAACAAAGTTCCGCCCATATTTGTATGCAACTCCTTTTCGCGTCGTCACGGACCACCACTCGCTTTGTTGGCTCGCAAACCTGGAGGACCCCTCCGGACGCCTCGCCCGCTGGAGCCTACGACTGAAGGAGTTCGGCATGATCGTGGTTTGCAAGTCCGGCCGCAAGCACAATGACGCCAACTGCCTGTCAAATGCCCCAGTCGAGGCCAGTCCTGCCTGCATCGAAGACGGCGACGAAAAGTGTTTTCTCGGCGCTGTGGATGTCAGCGACACGGGCAGCGCTCCAGCGAGACGACCCTGAACTACGAGCGCTCATCGAGCACCCAGAGGGACAAGCGAGTACGGTTCCCCATGCTTTCTCGCGAATCCTGTCTACCTTATCCATACGGCAAGGAGTGCTGTAAAAAGAGAACTACGTGAACAACAGCACACTATGGCTGTTAGTTATTCCTTCCAGCCTTCAAGAAGAAATCTTCCAAGGATGTCATGACGACCCAACAGCTGGACACCTAGGCTACTGCAGGACTCTCGCCAGGGTTCGAGAAGAGTGCTACTGGCTAGGTTACCGAAAACCCTTCACCTCTACACCCGATCGTGCCACGAGTGTCAGCTACGCAGGAAACCGCCCACGAAGCCGTCAGGACTTCTGCATCGGATCTCTCCCCCGTCCACGCCGTTTCAGCGGATCGGAATGAATTTACTTAGCCCTTTCCCGCCGTCAACGTCAGGAAACCGCTGGATAATCGTCGGCAAAAAATATCTCACACGTTACGCCGAGACGAAAGCCTTTTCGTAAGGTAGGGCTGTTGAAGTCGCCAAGTTTTTCATCGAGTGTATTGTCCTCCGGCACGGCGCCCCTGAACTCCTCATCACGGATCGTGGATCTTCGTTCGTGGCCCAGCTGACCCAAAAAATCCTTCGTCTCAGTGGCACCGGTCACCGTTAAACCACTGCGTACCATCCGCAGAGAAATAAAGTAATAGAACGGCTCAACAAAACTATCGCCGACATGATCGCCATGTATCTCGACGTAGAGCACAAGACATTGGACGAGTTGTTACCCTACGTCACGTTTGCTTACAACACGGCGGTGCAGGAGACCACAGGAGTAACCGCGCTTCAGCTGGCGCATGGCAGAAAAGTAACGACCATGCTCGACGCGATGCTCCCCCACGAACCAGCTGAGGATGGGATCCCCGACACCCAGGTGGTTGCTCAACGAGCCGAAGAAGTTCGCCAGCTCGAATGACTCCGAATTCAAGATCAACAATCTGTCGACGCTACCCGGTACAACCTTCACCGGATCGACGTTCGCGTCAAGCCCGGAGACCGTGTGTGGGTTTGGACCCCAGTACGACGACGCGGTTTAAGCGTCGTCGTCCTCCTAAAGCACTACACCGGACCCTACAAAGTACATCGTCGACTCGGGGATCTGAACTACGAGGTGATTCCCGACGGAACACGGACTTCATCACAACGCCCTTCATGACCGGAAGCCGTCCACGTCGTGAGCCTGAAGCCGCACTCGCGCGATAAGACTGCGAATTGTGATCTTGTGCAACGCTTGAGAGGATTGTGTTTTGCCAGCCTCCGTATTTTCCCATTCTTTTGTTTGTCTTGCTCTGTTTAGTTCCCTTTCACGTGGCATCGAGACGATGCCTTTTTAAAGGGGAGAGTAATGCCACGCGCGTCGGCGAGCGACCGCGTGCGTGGCCGAGTGGTTAACCCGCTTAACTGTCGCGCGATTTCAGTCAGTGGAATGTTATTTTATTTATGATTTCAACATTGCATTCTCATGAGTTCGAGAACATTCTTGCCTGATCGAGTTCCCAATGTTCTAGTTAGGGTGCCTACATGTCTCTCTGTCTGAGGGTGAAGACATCTATTGCTGCTTTGAATGTGCCAGCGCGTGACGCTCTCGCGCACTCAGTGCGTGACTTGGGCGGTAAAATGCCGTCTATGCATTAGCCAAAGCTACGCGCTCGAGCTGAGTGACACCAGATTGCGGGCGCTTCAAGATGCATAAAAAAACTACTGGGCGGAAAGATGGCTGAGATGTCACCAGTCAAGCAAAAGCGCGCGTGTGTATGAAGGCACTCTAGTTCTAGTCGCCAAACCTTCTAGGCCGATTGTTCCAGAAGCCAACGCGCGTACATAAGTGGCTCCGCTTGGAGATCTGTGGTCAGTCTCGTCCTAGCGCACGATCCTGCTGTTACGCCGACATCGACGCCCGCGACGCTCTACTGTTATGTTCTGTTTACTTTTGTTTTCGGGACAAGTTCCCCCCATTAAACGTTAATTTTATTCAGTTATCATCCATTGTCATTCGTGACAATATCATCACTTTGTAAAACTTTGATTAGATTTTAACTTTACTCAATTAGTCACTGAACCTCCGACAGTTACCCCGTCATAAACAAATGTTTTGGATCTTGTTATGTCGAACCATCCAGGTCTTGTTTCGCCTATTTTACATTTATCAGGACTTAGTGATCATTGTTTAATGCATATTAATATCAAAGCTACAGTGCCCAAATCATCCACTCGCACAAAACTAATTTGAGATTATACTAAAGCTGACTGAGAATATTAAGATTTAACTAGTAACATTTCTAGATGAACTCGTGGTGGGGTTTCCACACAGATTAGCTGAATAAAATTGACAATGCTTTAAGAAGAATTTCACATCACTAACCAATCTGTGCATTCCCGCAAATACAGTTTTTGAGAATCCCCCGTCTTTGTGGTTTAATAGAGCTTTCAAACGTCTCTCAAATAAAAAGAAACGATTATTTAGTGCTGCTAATTTTACAGCATGTAAACGAAGTTGCACAAAATATTGACCAGCCGCTGAGGCATACAAAATAGACATTGAGAATGAAAAGTTTCAATATTTTTAAGCGCAAACTACCGAAAATATTAATTTACAATCCCAAACTATTTTGGAATATTATGCCTAAAAAATCGAATTCTTCAGTTGTGCTAAAAACTGACAGCGGCTCTAGTATGCCGTTGAAAGCGAGTGCTAATATTTCGAATACAGATATTACTGAATCTTTCCTTGTGATGATAGCCAAGAATATCCAGTATTGCGTAATTCAGAGTCTTTGCGAGTGGACCACTCTGCTATATTGTGCTGGGGTTGAACATGATACTGATAGGTTAAAGTTGTCACCTTCTTCCCAAACTGCATGAACAATGTATGCAAGTGTCTGTACTCCCATTAGAGTGGAACGTAGCCAAAGGTAGCCCCTATTTACAAAGCAGTTGACTACCCTCTAAATCGCGTCTCGCGCCGTCTATATTGCTCTAAATGTTTTTTTGTTTTTTTTTTTGGCGTTCAGTTTATTTTTGGACACGCGTGTTTCAACGACAATGTTTTTTTTTGTTTTTTTTTGTATTCAGTGGCGCCTTAATATAATCTTTAACAATCTTCATGAATTCAATCTCCCTTAACCAACAGCTCTCAATTCGGAACTCAATATTTCAAGCTCTTCTCTCGCTACCGTTGCTTCTGGTGTTTGACAGGAGATCTGTCTTAGGACATGTATTATTCTTAATTTATTGTAACGATCTTCCACTTCGCAATCACTTATTTATCTGTTTACTTTCTGATGACTGTATGATTTCCTGATAAATAATTGACCATAGTGACGGCTGTGTGCCCCAGTCTGATACTAACAATATTGTCCAGCGGCGAGACTTATGGTCTATGAGCCTTAATTCTAATAAATGTTAATCTATGCGCGTATAGTCAGTCCTGGCAAAATCCTAATTATCCTCCTGATCCAGCGAATTTAGGAGATGTTACATACTACAAATATTTGGCCGTGCACATAACTTAAAAGCTTTCCTGGAAAACTCATATTCAGTACATCGCATCCAATGGTAACAGTATGTTAGGTTACCTGACGCGTAATTTTTCACTAGTGCCTGTTTCCTTGAAGTTGATTTTGTACAGAACCCTAATTCGACCGAAATTAGAATATGCAGCATTGATCTTGGATTCCTGCCATGCCTTCCTCATTGATACATTGGAAGCCATCATATCTGCTCGAGCCATACTCACTAATTACTACTACACAGGTAGTCTCGCTAATATGACATCAAACCTTATCGCTCCCACCCTGATTTCTACGTCGGAAAATTGGTCCGGTCCTGTCCTGGTTTCCGACCAGAACCGACCATTTTCATTTCGTGAGGACTTGCCGGTCCCGGTCCGGTGGGACCATGGCGGCAGACCGGAAATGCCCCGACCACAAGCAGCTGTTATGTGCTACATCGGTTGTTGAAGAAAAATCCACGATTATTATACCCATCGATCACGTATCTTAGGACGTCACTTACCGCCAAGTTCTCTTCCTTTACAGTTACATTGCCGTACTGTTCTATAAAGCATTCAGCATTTTTCAAGAACGCATCTCGCGCGCTCTCTGTCCACCAGTCCCGCTGCTGTCCATCAGCATCGAAATGACTTCCTGGTGAAAAAAGTGGAGAGAACATAAAAGTAAGCATTAACATGTTGTCTCCTATGAAGCTCAGCCCCATGTTGCCGTAAAAGAAAAAGAAGCTTAGTTGGAATTGCGAGCTAATAACATGATTTTCTTGTGCAGCTCGTTGAAATATTAGGGGCTGGAAAAATGTAGACATCTGAATCGTCACAATTTCAAACTTTATTTGTTAGCGCTTCCCCCATTAAAAATTCCTGGCGCAAGAGCCCAAACACGCACCTGAACTCGGCCAACTTGCGCTCCTTTCCGAACAATAAAGCCTGTCGCCTCTAGCCACCGTCACTATGGCAACGAAGCCTCTCCCGAATAAACGCAAAAGCGAACGCAGCTTCTCAACCGAGCCATGGCCGCCGCAAGCTCTCGAACATGGTTTGCTGGAACCAACTTTGTAATTTTAGCCAAACACACAGGTGCTGGTGTAGAATCGGAGAGCGGGAAGCGGTCGCCCGCTAAGCCCTTGGCTGATCCGATGAGGCTGGGGGAAGCTCGGGACTGAGGACCCATTTCAGTTTCCCCGAGCGGCGCAGAGTGAAGCAAGGTTCGCCAACACCACCTAAGGCCTGCGCATGTTGTCATCATTAGTAGATGCCAGACCAGCCCTAAGCGGCAAACGCGCCACATTGGGCTGGTCCGAGGAGTGTCGCTGCAAAGCGGTATTTGCGTTTGCCTTTGCGTCGTTGCGTGCTAGTGTCGCGTTCGTTGTGAGAGGCTGCAAGACGCACTGGCGGTGGTGCTTGCGCAAGCTGAGCCTCACTGTGTGGGTTCACCAGTGATAGAGTTTGTGGGGAAAGGTTAGAGGAAAACCGTACCCAGTAGGCGTACCCAATACAGAAGACCTACCTTGTTTTCTATATTGGGTACGCGTGGTCTGTTTGCAAGTCGAGATAGAGGCCCAAGCTACTGTTGCCGCGTTTGCAATATCACACGGCATGGAGAAAATAGCTTCGGCTGTTGCTAGCTTCCGACTGCGTTCACGTGTGTTTCTATTTAGCAGTCGCTTCGTTTTTATAGCGATGGTGATCATAACAGACGTATTTATCATACGGAAGAATCGGCGATATGCGGAGATAAGTGCATCTTTTGACTCTATTGCAGTGTTGTGAATTGGCGGAATGTGAAGAGAATGAGTTGGTGGTACTGACCTAATGAACACAGCTCACTTTCTCGAATGCCTAATACTTCGACGAGTTTTACTTGAAAGACGTGTTTTCTTGGCTATCCGGTGGTCGGTTTTGTTTACTTAAACGCTGGTTTAAAGTATCAAACTCATGTGCGTACTCTACGCGTGTTTGTCTTTCTCTCCTAACGCTCGAAAAGCGTTAAAAAGATAGACATCGCTAACGACAAGATGTACTAGTACGCGTACGAATGTAGTGAAATTTCCGAGGTCGTCGAGAATCAGGGCCGGCTTGCTTGAACAGCGTCTCAGCTGAGATTGGCTGAAAGAGAGCACTGCAAAGGCTGGGGCGCGCGAGCGTCTTGAGACGCGCCTTGAGTCCCGCCCAACTTGTCCGTTTTCTTTGGCAATGCTTCCTTTTTAGCTGTCTCAGCTGAGACGCTGTTTCTAGCAAGTCGGCCCAGATACTTGAGAGTAACTTCCAGGAGGCGAAAACGATCGGCAACTTGTTCCCGCAGAAACTGCTCGTCCAGACGCAGGTACAGTTTAGGCGTGAACCTCATGAAGATCGCGTGCGCGTCGAACAACCTTTTTCAACAAACATCTGGAGTGATCAATTGCCGCTTATTGCTTCGGAGTTTTGAAAAGGTACTATAAAAACGTTAGCACTGTAAAGGGAGCTATAATTAAACGTGGATGGGACATCATCATTCAACAAGTAAACTAATTCAAGATAGTCAGCGAGCGTGTTTTACACACATGTATAGATTTATTTGTCACGCGAGATAACAGAAAGAAATATGTGCACTTGCGATCCTTGACATACCGCCAAAAATACTTGTCGTAGCGCTTTAAGCTGCATTAAACTGCATTGCAATAGGATTTCCTGTCCTGCTTTAACAACAGTTTCGTTAATACTCGTGATCTTGAAAATGTTTTGTGCTAAAACTGTGCCGTTGTAATTTTGTATTTTCTATGATAGTGCGGGTCTTTCCTCAACGCACAGATAAGTTCGTAGGAAATTAAGCGAGAATTGGGAGGCGATTGACGACACTGTTTTGTAACGACCCTAATGAAAAATACACCAGGCAATCCTGGTGTGACATCAGAGAATCCTGATGTGACACCAGAATATCTGGTGTGCCCACCAGCGATGCTGATGTATCGAGCACACCAGCCTGGCGTGCCCACCAGAAATGCTGGTGTACCCGCACATCAGCCTGATGGGTACACCAAGGGAGTCTGGTGACACATCACAAGGACTCATGCGCCGACCAGGCAGCCTGGTGTGCACACCACGCAGTTTGATGTGACACCAGAGTTGTGTTTTCGTTGACTTCTCCCCCCGGTCCGCGCGCGTGTTTTCTATTAGTTTGTGTGCCGCTCCGTCCCCCCACGGGGTGCCTTGTTTCCTCCCGTCTTGGTGGTCGCCGGAGACCCCGCGGCGGGCTCCTTTGTGCTCAAGAAGTGTCCCCCTCGTCCCGAGCACTTTCCCGGGCGGCCTTGAGCAGCTTGGGGCGCTCGCCGGCTCGCCTTCGAGGGTTTCTCTTTCCCTTTCCGCCGGTATTCTTGTTTAAGTTTGAGAAAGTAAAGAAGTCTTTTTTTGTGAGTCGAAGACGAAAAGATGTGTTGGTGCGCTTTCCTTACTTCCGACGAGCTTGGTTTGGTAGCAAAGCAACAAAGGAAGCTAGTAATTATTACGATTTTTGGGGCCGAAATGCCCTCTACGAGCGAGGAGGGCGTCGACCGCCTGAAGCGAAAGAGGATTACCCTGGGAGCCAAAACAACAAAGATCATCAACGAGACTGGCGTCTGCTGGCCACGGATCCAACCGACATCGGTGAGCTCGAAGAAACATTTGATATTCTTCTACTTAAGGAGGCTTCCCAGAAAGAGCTGGACAAGGAAATCGAGCTATCTGTCGAATATGATGCCTTAGAAGAGGAAATTTCTGGTGGGGAGGGGTACGCGGAACGGATCAGCGTAACTAAGACACGAGTCAGCCGCAAGCTGAAAGGCCAAGAATTTCGGAACGACAGGGCGTCCGGTTCTTCGACGCACGGCAGTGGCTCCGGACAAACTCCAGTTGATCACGGCCAACTCCCTACAACAGTAAAGCTTCAGAAGCTTTACTGTTGTGCTTTTTTTCTTTTGTGAATAAAGTAATTATGGCAGCAGCGTTGTTGTCAAACTTATCATTGTACGCTTTTCTGTGAGTAAAGCAACACCCAGTCAACAGGTGGTCTGGTATCATATTACAACAAAACCTGATGTCCCGCCAGAACACCAGATTTCTGGTGTAACATCAGAACACCAGATTTCTGGTGTCATACCCACACATCAGATTTCTGGTGTCACAACAGAACACCAGGTTTCTGGTGTCACACCAGAAAACGTCCCAAATCACATCTGTGAAAAAGTCTGGTGTAACATCAAGTCACACCAGCCCTCGAGCTGGTGTATTTTTCACTAGGGGAAACGCTACTTTTCCGCTCTTACTGCACCGGCTGCTTTTAACCAGGGGGCACGAGCGCGTCCATTAGACGCAACCATGTAATGATTGTATCGAGCATAAAGCGGCGCTGCAGCAATGGATTCTGCACAAGCCCGGGTTGTTTACAAGCTTGTCTCCAAGCGTGCGTCAGCACATATCTGTTCGCGGTAACAAAGCGTACGTCTCAAACTAAAAAAGTAAAATATTATTGCAGTTCGCTCTTTCAATATCCTTTCAAAATGACGTGTTTTTTTTTTTGTTTTTGTCGTAGATTTGTCATTTTTGTTATTTGCTTTCGCAAATTCATATCCACCAATAAAACTCCTCCAACTAAGTTTACGGGCGGAACGTTAAAGGCGTAATTTTATTTTATTTTCATTCATTATTTCCCCGGGAGCCGGGGTTATTACAAACTGAAGTGGGTAATTGAAATTATTAAACAGTGAAACATGGACAAAAACGCAAAAATACATAATGAAGAAATGCTATGGATTATCTGTTAAAGGGCCTCTGAAAAGACAAGAAATGTTTTTCTGTTAAACAGTTTCGTTGGGAAGCGCTTGCCAAAAGATAAATATTACGCGAAAAAAAAAAAAATAGAGCGATATTGACGGCGCGAGATGCGATTTAGTCGGCAATCACCTCCTTTCCACTTGTTTTCCCTGTCCGCATTTCGGGCGCGTGGAGGAAAGGTGGAGCGGCTTCGCCTTCACGAGCGAGATGGTCATTCCAGAATGACCAGTGACGTAAAGGACTTCGCGCCCACAATTTCATATAAATCTCTCGCCTCAATATTGCTCTAACAAAAGTTTTTTTCGTGTTAACTTTATTTTTCGACACGCGTGTCCCGCCCGAACTGTATAAAAAAAATATTTTTTCTTCTTTCAAGGCGCTCTTTAAGAGATTAGTTCTTGCTTTTTTTTTTTTTGTTAAATCGGCAGTGCCGGTTATAGAAACTGTACACTCTCAAAATGCCTGCGCGTCTACTTACCCGCCAAACACTGAAATAGCCAATCTTTGCGAACTGGGAAATCAGCTCAGCAAATGATGAGACGGAACATCTGTTTAGACCTAAAATAAAAACTGCGCTGCAGCATTGCGCAATGCAAACCGTCATGCTTGCTTTGCGTAATGCCAGAGCGCAGATTACATTTTCAGTTCTAATCAGATGTTCCGCCTCATCATTCGCTGAGCTGATCTAGAGATCGTAGAGATTGGCTGTTCGAGTGTTCTGCGGGTAAGTAGACGCGCGCAGGGATTTTTAGAGGCTACGTGCGAGAAGGCAAATCCAATCGATGGACGTTTGGGGAATAAAATATGTATGGAAGGAAAGGGGGGGAGCTGCAACGGGTTAATGCAACTCTTAGGGGATGGTTGCCGCGCAATTATATGTAAAATGTTTTATAAAAAAATGTTTGCGAATTGTAGGAGATAATAATATATCTTGGGAAACAAACAAGCACACATTACTTTTCTACAGAAAAAAAGCTTAGAAAAAGACGGCGATGCTTTTATGAAGGTTACGGTACTTGTGCGGCGGCAGTTCAAAAGTATAAAACGAACCGAACGATTCATTTTGGAATTGACGCACAAGCAAAGCGCGACCAAGAAATATTTTATATTCACCTCCAGAGGCGCTAACCAAACTTTAAATCTATGGGCCTATACTATTCGCTAGTAATTCCCAGCTAAATCTACGACTAATATATTAAATATTGGTGTCTAATCAACCCTGCGTGCCTATATATTTGAAAAGCCTAAGATAGCCTTATTTAAAGCGAACGAATCGTGGCTTGTAAACTTGGTGTTCTTGAAAAAACACTAAAGAGGAACAGAAAAAATTATCTATGAGCAGACATCCACCAAAGTCTAACGTCGTCAAAACGAGAAAGGACGTTGTAACCGTCTCTAGCATCTGTTTCTGTGAAAAAAAAAGTTAAAACCGTTTACAACTCCCCGTAACGCCAAATTAGAGCGCAGCTGTTGAGGCGAAGAAGGGGAGAGTACTGAGGGGGGGGGCGGGTCATGTGACCTCGGAGGGGGGGATGTCACGTGACCACCCCCTCCCCCCGAGGTCCTCTTAAGGTCTTCCCGAAGGAACCTGGGGTGCTGCCAAGGTCCTCCGGGGGCGGGGTGGGGTGGGGGCTTGCGGTTACGCCGACGCCAACGGCGACGCCGCTCAAGCTGGAAACGGGCGCCTAAGAGCTGCACTCCTTAAAAGAAGGAGCGTCCAGTCAGGCGAAGCAAGAGGATTAGAAACCAGCGCAACGACTTCTCGTGTTTGAAAACTATTTATCTGTTTCAATCGCCCCCTCCCCCCCCCCCCACGCCAAATTCGTAGAATTGAGTAAATTAATAACCTAAAATGTTACATGACCGGAAGATGGTGTAGGATTTTCTTCGTGCCAGTTTAAGCGTACATTAAAATCTCGAAATATATGGGTATGGTCGTTGTCCACATCAACTGATTTACAACAAAGCCAGATAATTTGTAACCAAAGAAAAAATAAATTATGTGATATCGAGGGTTTACGAATAGTAATACGTGCCAATTAGCACGCTGTAATTATCACAACGTATTCTCACCCAAAAACATTCACGGCTAAATTCGAGAAGAAATCGGCGGACACTTTACAGACGTTTTTAAAGAGCAATTAGAACACTACCTTTAAGCTTCACGGACATGGTTTTGCATTGCCTCTCTTTATGAAGTATAGAATACTTTTTTGGGGAAAGTGGTTAGATTATGAAAATCCACAGTCTATGTTTTGATCGTAGATTTTCCAGCCTATATTTATAAAAAAAAATCAGATTGGCGGATGTTTTCTTCCTTCTTACATTTTTTTCAGAAATTTATGTATTTCGGAAATTAGTTTAGCACAAACGCTAAAAAAGGTGATTGTCAGTAAAAAAAACTGACTATAGAAAAAAAAAGAAACAAGGTTTTGAAACTTAGTTAACAATTGTTATTAACCCTTATGACGCTTCACGCTTAACACAATGTGACAGCTTGTAAGCGACCGATGAAGACTTTGAAGACTTGTCGAAGTCCGATTTCTTTTTAGCAAAATCATCCAAAAATGTTCTTCTTCTTTTTACCCTCCTACCCTTCTGCTCAGTGTGATCTCAAAAATTGAAGTGCTACTAAGCAAAATGTTTCCCCAAACAATGTTTTCCTGGCAAAATGTGCCAGGAGGAAGGCAAGTTGTTCTCTCTTAAAAAGATTCAAGCGATAATTAGCGCCAGTGTTTTTTCAAACACACATCAAGCTTTGACGTAAATGGAACAAAGATCTGTGACGACCGAGTGACTGAAATACCTCTCATTCCATTGCCCTACGAAGTCAGTGATTCCAAATATTTGAGACTGACAGGGTGCTCGATTGTTTGTCTGATAACGCACCCTATGAACGCCTAATGAAGGTTTTCGACAAAAATATTCCTCGCTTAGAGCAAACAATATAATAAGAAGCTGCTTTTTCGTTTTAGCCGATTTAGTGTTTTTGATACTGGACAATGTTTATCGGTATTTTTTATTTAAATTGGAAAATCTGGGGCATTGACGTTTTATAGAATATATTGCGTGACTTGAACATAACGCCGCTTCGCCGGAATGGTGGAATATTTCTGTTCTGAGCGATATTCCTCATGAGCCAGTACGCCGGCAAGGATTATGCTCAAGGTAATACAACGATAAAAATAATAGAAATATGTGGTGTTCATCTCCTTCGCTTCCTTTTCTTTTAACAAGGTTTGTTAGGGGACCTTCTTATCTGAGGCAAATCCTACTTGATACCTGCTGGTAAATGTATGCGTTTTTTTACCAATGTTATTAGAATGAAGATCTTCAAAAATCGCCCTATCTAAGTATGAGCTAGATTTGAAAATATGCTAAACTGTACCACAATATTTTTTTTTTTAAATTATAGTCCGGACCCTGTGTATAGGCCGCAAGGGCCGACTTCAGCCGAAAAGAGGTTTCCCTTTAGAGAGTCCGCACATAGTGCATAGTCCACACGGGGTGCACAGTCCGCACTTGGTGCCAAATCCGAACGTAAAAATGATCATACACAGCACATCTTGACAGATGCCAGTTGTATTAGTATTCACAAAGGAACTTCTATCATACATAAATCACCATTAATATACTCTCCTACCATGGGAGTCCAGAGGCGGCAGTTTATTTTGAGATGCATCGCTAGTGTTAGTAGAATGGGCATCCTTGAGTCGGTAATATTATTATTTTGTCGACGGAAATGAGAGTAACGTACGTGAGGGTGTCTGCTTTAACTGTGTGAGTTTTATTAACACGATGGGCTTGTCGTTCACATTTGACTGTCCGATAATCATGCCGTCACAAGTAGGAACCACAAAGTCTCAGGCACGCTGCCCATATATAAAAAAAAAGATGGGCTATTGACTGCAGAGCTGACGACAGAATTGCTTGCAGACACGGCTCAAGCATCTTCGAAGCACATATAAGAAAAATACCAAACCTTGTTTAGTCCGACACTGTGGATAGTCCGCACCGTGTAAAATTTCAGCTTTTAAACACGTATAGTCCGTGGTTTATACACTGGAAAATACGGTAAATGAAGGTTATAAAAATATATAATGACTACTCACCGCCGTCGACGAACCAATCAGTAATTTTGTGTCCCATAAATATCCCAAAAGTTCCCATGTTGATTGACCTGAGGAATACAAAAAGCAAGGCAAAACACACTAGACGCAGATCTGGAAACATACGTAAACTTTGTTATGAAAGGTTGACATCATGCAGAGTTTTAAGATGTGACTCGGGAAGTAAATACATATATATTTTTTTTTACTTTTGTACTTCAAGAACATCCGAGAGGGCCTTCACAGGCATCGTGCCACGAAAAAGGCTGTGCAAGCCAATGCTCCACCAGTACATAAAGGAAGACTGTTCACACAATTGGTTTCGAAGACGCTGCTTCGGTCGATCTAAACAGGGATTTGAGAAGGTGCCGTTTCATAAAACTTTTGTTGTATAAATTTAACGTTATTGTCGCGTAAATAGAATACTAAAAAAACCTTATTGTTCGGGAGCCCTTGATTTTCGCGAAATTTGGGAATTAAAAATTAAGTGACATATTAAGGCACGGGAAAATTTCGGTCCTTAAGAATTTCCATGCAACGGTCTGGAATTCCCGTTATTTAGTGGCCGCGATTATGACCTTTGTGACAGATTCGCGAAAAGATGTTGACGCGCAAATAAAGATCTTTACATTACACCGTACGCGGCAAAGGCATCATGGCAATCGCTGCGCTTGTCCACTTCTTTCATTCGTGTCCTTATATTTCCATGTTCAGCTGATCCGATTGCCTTTGTATATTGAGGATGTGACGTCTTAACGCCACCGTCTTATTGTTAAACTATTAAGAACAAAGATACGGGACACGTGATTTATGTGAAATGTTCTTCGAACTGTCTTTACTTCGGCGCTGCAGTGTTGTTCACAATCCCATTGAGCAAGTCAATCTATTTTTTGGGATGTGCCAAACTGGCTACATCATAGAAATCAATTAACTAGCTTTCTGTCATTTGTGCGCAAACCTTCCAATACGAATGCTGTAGAGAGTGTCAAGAAAGATTCTATTGTGTTATTTACATAAATGTAACATTTGTGTAATAATTTTTCTTAGCTCTAAAAAGAAAAAAAAAGGTCTGCCACATTTAAGAAGAATTTTACGTGACTACGCACTAGCGAAGTGCGATATTATTGCTCTTAGTCACGTGAGGTTTTTGAAATTTCGACCCCTTCCTTTAAGGTTAAAGGACAAAAATAGACACGTCAGCGCCACCCTGGTGGAAACGACAAAACGGGGTTGCGAGAATCGGCCGCGATGTCTCATGAAGGGACACAAGAAAACCCACACTCGTTTTTGTTGGTTTACGTGTTTTTCTTTGCTCGTGCGCCCTGGTTTTTGTGCGAACTGACGGCGCTCATGCGGGCTAGCGAGAGGGACATGTGTTAAAAAAGTTGAGGAGGCGGGTTTGTCACTTGAGGCATTTTGGCTTAGGCAGTTTGGAAGATAACTCGATCGGAAATCGACGACTTTTCTTTTCTTCCTTTCGCCGAGTCGTGTCTACTATTTTCGAGTGGCGATCATCTACAGCCTTCATGCTCGAGTCCTGGCGTAGTAAAAAAACCATCTACACTGGGGTGCCTCTGAAAACGCTCTAAAGATTTTGTATTAAAAGGTTAGCGCGCAACTTAATGTTCACAAAATGTTAGCTAATTAATCTGAGTAATTAACCAGTTTGACAGATAACACAGCGTGTTTTCACTTGCTTCATAGGACTGTGAACAATACTGCGTTGGTTCGACACCCGTAGAGCGAACCAACTATTTTAAGTCTTGTGACAAGCTAGAGGAAACACCCTGTGTACAAAGAATTGAGCCAAGATCCATGGTCCATTTTCATCTGAACTGCTCCTTTCCGCTGTGCTGTCTCGCGCAACTGCTGTCTAGCGCGACACAAACAATAAAATTATACACATTTCCCACGATAATGCCAAAAAGATCCGTCGCAAGAGAAATGGGCTAATCAAGGGTGGCCAAAGTGACATGGGGTTAGAGCCGCGGACCAAATTACAAAAGTTCAGAGAGCTGCAGGAAAAAAAAAAGAAAGAAACGATACCGTCGAAACTGTTCTTTCCAAAGGGGAGAAGTATAGACGCTTTCAGCGAGTCAGTTACTCGAGCTGCCACCAGTCGGCGCGCCCTTCGCGCGCATTCCGGGCCGCCATAGCCGACCTTCTGTTTCTCGCCGTTGCTCCGGGTTGTGTGCTGCACAGGCCACTACCGGAGCTTCGTTTTCGTGTTCTTTTACGTTGCACGTTGAAATCTTGGATTTTCTTTAGGTCTTTTGGATATTTAAGACTTTCATTTTATCATTTCATATTTATATTTTGACATAGCTCTTGCATTTTCATATTTATGGAATGGAATCGGACAGCGATTGGGTCGACGATACAAGATTATGAGACTTCAATGACCATGTAAGTTCATCCCCTTCTTACGTTTTTGTCGCTAATAAAGGGCAGTGAACACTAATGCGACTTATGTAAATTGCAACTGATGCAGTAAGGCTATCACAGTCGTGCTTCTCGCTGCATGAGCGCGCTCGTTTTCCGTAAAGCTGACCCGCCATGTAAGCGATTTAGCGTGCGACGAGACGAGCAACGGAGATTTCTCACTGTCGCCCGTCGCATCGCTCGGTTTTGGCATTTCTAGAAAACGTCGCTCACCGTCTTGGTCGCTTGCTCCGTCGCTTTCATGCGGTTTGCCTCGTCGCGCGACTGACTGAGCGACAGAGAAGCGGGTCGCCGTCGCTTATCTGGTCCCTCGCCAGATAGCTTACATGCGGTTTATACTTAATTAATTTCCATGCAGACACCATTGAACCAATGGCGCCTCGATATTAAGTATAAACCGCATGCAAGCGATTCGGCGAGCAACGAGACAACCGACGATGACCCGCTTCGCTGTCGCTCGGGCGATCGGGCGACGAGGCAAACCGCACGGAAGCAAGCGACCAAGACGGTGAGTGACGTTTTTTGGAAACCCAAAAAACCGAGCGATCCAACAGGCGACAGTAAGAAATCTTCGTCGCTGACTCTCGTCGTTGTCGCCGTCGCTCGTCTCGTCGCACGCTAAATCGCTTACATGCAGGCGTTACGAAAACGAGCGCGCACATGCAGCGAGAAGCACGACTGGATAGCCTTACTGCGTCAGTCGAAATTTGCATATGTCGCAATGGTGTTGACTGCCCTTTATTAGCGAGAAAAACGTTAGAATGGGATGAACTTACATGGTTTCTAAAGCCATAATCTTGTATCGTCGATCCATTCGCTGTCCGATTCCATTTCATAAATAAGAAAATACAAGAGCTATGTTGAAATATAGATATCAAATGATTAAATGAAAGCCCGAAATATCGAAACGACGCAAAGAAAACACACGATTTCAACGCGGAACGTAAAAGAACGCGAAAACAAAGCTCCGGCAGTGGCCTGTGCAGCACACAACGCGGAGAAACGACGAGAAACTGAAGGGCGGCTATGGCGGCAGGGTCACGTGACGTCAAGATGGCGGCGCCCATGAAATGTTGCCTGAAAGGGTCTATAATTGTCGACTACAAGAAAAAATACCAAGCACCAGAAGGTTTCTTCAACCGCTAAGCAATAAAGTCAAAGCCGTTTACAACTCCCTGTAACACCGAATTAGAGCGCAGCTCTTGAGGAGGAGGAGGGAAGGGTACTGGGGGGGGGCGAAGTGACCTTGGGGGTCACGTGACCTTGCGGGTCACGTGACAATGCTGATGATGTCAACAGTGACGTCACTGATGACGTCATCAGTGACGATGACAATGCGGACCCCGATGACGTCATCAGCGATGATGACGATGACGATACGGATGTCGGTGATGTCATCAGTGACGTCACTGATGACGTCATCCGTGATGATGACGATGACAATGCGGATGCCGGTGACGTCATCGCTGACGTCATCGTCATCATCACTGATGACGTCATCAGTGACGTCACTGATGACGTCATCAGTGATTATCACGATAACGACGCGGATACCGGTGACGTCATCAGTGACGATGACGTCATCGGGGAGGTCACGTGACCTCGGCGGGGGGGTCACGTGACCCTGGGGGTGTCACGTGACTTCAGAGGGGTCACGTGACTTTGGGTGTCACGCGACGTGACCTTGGGGGTCACGTGACCTTGGGATGACCTTGGGGGTCTCGTGACCTTGGGGTAACCTTGGTTACGCCGACGCCGACGGCGACGCCGACGCCGACGCCGCTCAAGCCGGGAACGGGTCCCTAAGAGCTGCGCTCTAACAATGAAAACCGTTTACAACTCCCTGTAAGGCCGAATTAGAGCGCAGCTCTTGAGGAGGAGGGAAGGGTACTGAGGTTCACGTGTTATGGGGGGGAGGGGTGGTCACGTGACCTTGGAGGGGTTACAAGACCCCCTCGCCAAGGTCACGTGGGGGTCGCGTGACCTGTGGGTGTCGCGTGACCACGGGGGTCACGTGACCTCGGGGGGTCACCTGACCTTAAGAGAAATTTTAGAGCGCAGCTCTTAGGGGCCCGTTTCCGGCTTGAGCGGCGTCGGCGTCGCCGTCGGCGTAACCGCGCGGTGCAATATGGGTAAATTTCCCCGCTAAATCTAGCGGAAGAATTTCCCCGCTAGATCTAGCGCAAAAATTTCTTCGCTAAATCTAGCCGAAAATTTTCCCGCTAAATCTAGCGGAAAAATTCCCCGCTAAATCAAGCGGAAAAATTTCCCCGCTAAATCTAGCGGAAAAATTTCCCCGCTAGATTTAGCGGGAAAATTTCCCCGCTAAATCTAGCGCGAAAAATTTCTCCGCACGTTTAAGCGGAAAAATTTCCCCGCTAAATCTAGCGGAAAAATATCCCCGCTAGATTTAGTGGAAAAATTTCCCCCCTAAATCTACGCAAACTTTCCCTGCTAAATTTAGCGGGAAAAATTCCCCGCTAAATCTAGCCGAAAATTTCCCCCTAAATCTAGCGGCAAAAATTCCCCGCTAAATGTAGCCGAAAAATTTCCCCGCTAAATCTAGCGGGAAAAATTCCGAGCTTAATCTAACGGAAAAATTTCCCCGGTAAATCTAGCGGAAAAATTT